TGGAGAACAATTTGGAACTATCCTGAAAGGGCTACAAAACTATGCATACCCTTTGACCTAGAAATGCCACTACGAGGTCTGTATCCTAAAGAGAACAAAGAAAAGAGGGGAAAGAACTTATTTGTATAAAAATATTTATAGCAGCTTTTTTTGTAGTGACAAAGAATTGGAAATTGAAGGGATGCCAATCAACTGGGTAATTGCTGAACAAGTTGTGGTATATGACTGTGATAGAATACTGTTGTACTCTAACAAATGACAAATAGGATAGTTTAAAAAAAAACCCAAAAAACTGGTGAAGACATATGAACTCATACAAACTGAAGTGAGCAGAACCAGAACACTATGCACAGTAACAGCAATATTGTTCACTGAAAAACTATGAATGACTTTGCTACTCTGATCAAGACAATGATCCAAGACAATTCCAAAGGACCCATAATGAAAATACCTCTCTGGAGAGAATTGATGAACCCTAAAAGCACATTGAAGCATAGTTTTTAAACTTTCTTTATTGTTCTTGTTTCTGTGTGTCTTTTCTTTTACAACATTACTAATATGGAAATGTTTTGTATGATTTCACATGTACAACTGATATCATAGTTTGCCTTCTCAAAAATGGGGAAAGAGTGGGAATGAGTATTTAAAACTCAAAATTTGAAAAAAAAAGATTGTTAAAAAATTTTACACGTAATTGGGAAATCTTAACAAAATAATTTTTTTTAAAAGAGGAAATTGGAGCAGCTAGGTGGCACAGTGGAGAGAGCACCTGCCCTGAAGTCAAGAAGACCTGAGTTCAAATCCAGTCTCTGAAAAAGAAAAAGGAAATTGAAACTTAAAAAGGTTGAGGTACTTGTTCATAATCAACTAACAATGAATATGTGAATTGACTGTGAAAAGAAGTGAGGGCATTACAAGACCTTAGCTTTAAAAGGCCAAGGTCTCCCACTGCATCCTGGACCATCTCCAGTCATCCTGATCTATGTCTTGCCACTGGACCCATATGGCCCCAGGAAGAGAAAGTGAGGCTGGTGACTTTGCACAGCTCTCCTTCACTTAAATCCAATTCACTTCCAAGTCATGGCATCACCTTCCTGATGTCATGATCCTCTTCTAGAAAGAAGGACAAACAACAACAAAAAGAAGATATTTTTGCCTACAAAAGTATTTACAGTATCTAGAGAAATATTCAGGCATAAACTTGAAGGGGTCAGCTAGCTATGACTCTTCCCCGACTTCCCTCCCTTCTCTAGTCTACCTCCATCCTCCACAGGACTATATGAGGGCACTTTCAGTTTTTATTCTGAACCCAAATAAAGAATTCCTAATAAGGGGACAACTTCCCATCATCCTTTCAGTCCTTCTCCTTCTGCTTTGTCTGCTGAGCTTGGTAGATTTTGTTTTAAATTACCATTAGATACTCTTTAATGCTGGCTGAGAAAACTAAGATGACAAAGAGGAATCCGGATGAACTTGAAGAGCCACTATACAACAGGAAAGTAGACACTGTAGATAGCAAAGAAGGAGCAGGTCACATTACCGCCATCCATGCCGTTATCTAGTGTCTGGGAGAAGAACCCTACCCTTTCCAATCTCAGAAGTTAGGGATCTCCCCCTAAATGGCCAGGCTTTCATTAACAACTCACCACAGATCTACCATCCAGAATTCAGCTAGAGTCTTTTGAAATATATTGTTGTCATTGTTGTTTTATCTATATCATCCTTTAAGACAATGCTTCTGGTAACCTGGGATTTGGTGAAAGTCTTCTTCACTCTTTACATCCTCTTCACGATTTGAGAAAATACCTTTTGTATCCCTGTTAATCTGAATACTCAAACTTATATGATATTGGAATATATGCATGTAGAACAGAGATTTGGTATCAATCTCAAACACTAAACCATACGTATGGATCCCTGTGGGTGGCACACTGACTTAGTTTTAAAATATTATCCATGTTTTATTGTATTTTAATTTATTTTGTTAAATATTTCCCAATTACATTTTAATCTGATTCCTACACACTCAGGATTGTTGCAAGTGCCTCAGATGTATTTGACACCTCTGATGTAGAATACAAGTTCCCTGAAGGCAAGGACTATTTCATTTTTGTCTATCCCTCCAAAACCTAGCATAGTACCTGCCACAAAGTAAGCAGTCACTTGTAGAATGGAACTGAATTGAATTTCAACAATGTTATAATTACTTACCATCTACAAAGTTGTCCTCAAATTTGTTTAATGGCAGAGTTGTGCATTTCACCTATGGTATCATTATAATTACAATTATTATTGCTCTGCAAAGGCCCTATAGTTCTTTCAAACAGGTTTAGAAACAATGTTTTGAGGAATTAAAAAACAAACAATCTCATGCAAATCAGCAAAGAAGGTTCTTCCACACGTATTACGCGTGCTCACCTATGGTCAGTGGGTCAATCGTACCATATCACTGGTTGATTAGTTAAGCCAGTCATACACTATTCAGAGGTGCCCAGTTGGCACTAGGCCTGCGTTAATTTCCATCAACTTCCAAAACAAACATTTCATAAAATCATAGAATCTTGAAGTTAGAAGGAGCTTTGAAAGTCACCTAACTTAACGTCTACTTGAAACATGAATCCCTTCTACAACATTCTCCAACAAGGAGCCACCCAGCCTCCAGCCGAAAATCTCCAGCAATGAAATCAATTTTGCTACTTCTACTGAGGTGACCATCCTTCCAGGCAACTGGGATTTCCAACTTCGGTCATCCTCAACTTTTCCCTCTCTCTCACCACCCACATGCAATCAGCAGACAAGTCTTTTTGATTTTACTTCCACAGCATGCCTCACACATTGTGCGCTTCCCTCCTTTCAAATGGCTACTACACTAGTCCACTTCCTCATCTCTCCCCATCTAAAACGCTACAATAGCCTTTTTCACTGGCTTCTAGTTTCTCCCTTCTCTAATTCATCTTTCCACACAGCTACCAAATTAACAATCCTAAAACACGGGTCTGACTGTCACAACACTGCCCAAAAATCTTCTATGGCTCCCTACTGCTTCTAGAATAAAATGAATTCTTATTCTATCACTTGAAGGCTCCATAACATGGTTTCACCTATCTTTCCCAATTTATTTCAGGTTATTTTTCCTAATGCATGCTTATATTCCAGGAAAACGGACTTCCTTCAAGCCTCACCATAACTGCTACCTCTTATTAAACAAAGCCTTTCACAATTCCCTTCAGCTGTTAGTATTTTCTCTTTCCTCTAAACCAAGGGGCTCTTAACCTGGAGCCGGCAAACTTGTTTTTTGAAAAAAAATTTGCTAACTACATTGCAATATAATTGACTTCTATTGTAATCTTGTGTATTTTATTTTAGGATTTAAAAATAATATTCTGAGAAGGGGTCCACAAGCTTCAGACTGTCAAAGGAATGTGCTAGTAAACGTTTCTCTGAACATGCATTAACATACTTTTAAGTTTAAACTGCATCATTAATATTTTCCCTATCACTTTTTAAAGTCTAAACAACCAACAAAACAATAAATCAAGCCTTGATTTGTAGCAAGTTGTAAATACTCACACTAAAAAGAAAATTTAACAACCAGCTCTCCAGGGCTAGTACAAGTCAGCTGTAGCATACTGCTGAGTCCATAACACAAAAAAAGTGAAGAATCTCACGCTCCAAATTATCTTTAACTTACATCTGTTCATGTTGTATCCTTCCAATAGAATGTAATCTCCTTGAGGGAAGGAACTATTTCTTTTTTTTTTGTCTTTGTAACTCTAGCAAAATGACATGTACATAATAGGTAGAAAATGAATATTTGTTGAATTAGGCTGTGAGTTCACTACCCACAAGGCATTCAATTTTATTTCGAGCCAACTCTAATTGTGAGAAACGTCTTGTGCTGGGATGAAATCTGCTTTCCCATGCCTGTCTTGGGGTATCAAGCAGAGCAAGAGGAATCATTCTACCACATAAGCCTTTCAAATATTTGAAGATAATAATCTTGCTGCTCCTAAGTTATATCTTTTCCAGACTAAGTATTCTGTTGACCTATCCCCACAATAGTATGATACGCATCCAAATATCATACAGTTCCTTCCATCAATCCGCATACAACCTGTAACCTCGAGAACTAAACAAAATGTGCCACACATGGTCTGGCCAGGGCAGATGACAGTGGGACTACCGTTCCCTTGATTCTGATTATTAATGACATCTAACAATAAATTGGTTTTTGGGGCGAATCACACTTTTGATTTACACTGAACCTGCATTCAACTGTAACTCCCAATCTGTTTCAAGCCTATATCACCAAAAAACACATCCTGAGCACAGTTCAGTACATGAACAGCCTCCAACTAGCACACTTCCAAAAATAAGCACAAAACTCACTCAAATTGCATTGTTAAGTGCCCTGTTTCTTCTCAACTCCCACCCAACCAATTCATTGCTCTTATTCCAGGTTGTGGAGGCCCTGCGATGTGGTTTCCCACATCACAGGCAGAAACCTGTCGCATTGTGCTATATGAATACATATTACCTAAGAACACAACATGGTTGGGAGAGGATTTGTGACCATTCTTGCCTCTTTCCATTGTACTCTGAACTTTTTGGACACTATGTTCAGGTCTTGGCACCACATTCTAGGAGGGACATCAACAAACCGGCTTGTGTACAAAAAGAGGGTAAAGATCATTCCAGGCTAGGGAGGCATTTTGAATTTAGGAAGTTAGACAGAAAGTATGCTTAAGTAGAAAAACCACTGAATTCGGAGTCAAAAGACGTGGGTTTAAATTCCAGCTGTACCAGTTACTGTGTGACTTTAGACAAGTCACCTGACTTCCTCAGTTTGCTCATCTATGAAATAAAGAGTGTTGGACTAAATGATCTGTATTCCATTCACTTCTAAATCCATGATCTATGTGTGATCTCTAAGACTTTCCAGAATCAGGGCAGAAAGAACACGAAGAAGAAGAGGCTAATCTTCTAGCGTGGTGAAGTACCTCAGGATCATCTGAAGGCACTGGTGATATTTAGCCTAGAGGAGAGAAGACTCCGAGGGGAGATGGGGCATGAAGAGCTGTCAGGAGGAAGGGGACTTCGGTTTGTTCTCTTTGGCTCCAAAGACTAAAACAGGGAGTGGGAGTGGGAGGTCTGAGGAGAAAGAAGCTACAAAGAGGCAGATCTCCTAAAGGAGTAGAGGAATCCAGAAATTAAATGCGCTGCTTCTGGAGGTAGTGGATTCTTTTTTCACTAGAAATCTTCAAGAAAAGGCTTGATGACCACTTGTTGAATACGTCCTAAAGAAAATTCCATTCTCATCCAGGTGTGGATCGGACCAGATGGTGTCGGAGGCCCCTTATCTCTCAGACATTTTGTGCAGAGTCGTCCCTCGCTGCTGGGGCGGATGTGAGCGCAGCACCACAGGCCATTTCACAAATGCCCGGAGCTCAAGGCTCTCCCTCTCCCCCCGCCCCGACCGTGACCCTGCGCACGACCGTGACCCTGAGGGCTCTAGCCCTGGGTCCCCAGGACCCCGCTTTCTCGGCACTCAGTGACACGCCCCTGCTCCCCCTGCCCCGGCCTCAGTGCTCCAGGTCCGACCCCCGACCCTCAGAGACCCGGAGCCCCGGCTCACACGGCTCCGTTGCGGAAGCCCTTGAGCACGGCCAGCGCGGCGTGGTAGCGCCGCTTGCGCAGCAGCGTATTGACGGCGTAGAGCAACATCCCGAGCTTCGGCTGGAGGCCCATGGCCGCGGAAGGGAGCGGGGACACGGAGACCGAGAGCGTGAGCACGTACCACCCGGCCGAAGCGGCCAGAACAACTCCACACCGGGCTCAGGGTGGCTGAGCCGTCCTTCACGAGAGATTGACCAATCAGAATCACGAAGCTGCTCCAAAGGCATGGGAACCCCGGGTTTCCTTGGAGTTATTGGCTCAATGGACCAAGAAATAACAACCATAACCAATCACAAGATGGGCTCCTCCCCGTCTGGCTTAGCGTAAGAGATAGGAGCCAGAATTCGCCTTCTCAGAGCCTGGTGTGCTTTACTGAGTGTCCTCAGTAAAGGGCGGGGGTTTGGAAGGATGTGACGAAGAGCTTAGAGAAACTGACACAAATTTGTAAACAGTAACATCACTGGTTTAGAACTCAAAAGTCATGGAGAATACCAGACTTCTCCTTGTACAGATGAGGAAACTGAGACCTAGAGATGTAATAAAGTAATAAGTAGCAGAACCAGCATTTTAACTGAGGTGCTATGATCTTAGATTCATCAAGCCTCCTGCTGCTTCTTAAGATTCATTCCCCAAACATATAAATGGATGTGAAAAGGATACCAAAGAATAAGAACAGGCCATTATCAAAAAAGGAAACACAAATTGTTAACAACCACCAAAATATTATTTCAGGCTTTCTGGCCATCAGAGAAAAATGCAAAAACAAAACAAAATAAAAAACCCCAGCAAATTCTGGCATGCCACCTTAAATTAGATTGAATGACAAAGATAGTTAAAACAGATAAAAATTCAGTGTTGTTGGGTATATAGGAAACCAACCAAACTGCTAAGGGAGCAGTGAATGGGGCAATCATTTTGGGAAGCAGAATAACAACACATAATTAAGTTATGGTATTGTCTTTACCCTTTGATCTAGTGCTCATGCTCTTACAACGATACCCTAAGGAAAGGTTAACAGTACAAAGCTGCTTAATTTGGGATAGCAAAAAGCTAGGAGTCAAATCTCACCTATTGTCAGTTTCCCTCACAGTTCTGGGACCACTAGCTACTTCCTGGTTTAGGATGGTTTGTTGTTGTTGTTGTTGTTTAGATATATTTGAGGCATATAAATCCAATAAAGTATTTCATATATACGGGTAGGTGTTGATTAAGTCCATGAATCAAATCACCCAACTCCCACTTAAAGTAGCAATATACTATGTTTTGATACCTTTGTCAGGTCCAATAGTCTATTAGAGGTGTGAACTAAGTGTGAGCCAAGTTAGGCATCAATCAATCACAGGGTTGAACTAAGTGCTAAAATTTAATGTTAACTATAGCAATAAGAGAAGAAAAAGAAAGATATTAGAATAGGCAATGAGGAAACAAAACTATCATTCTTTGCAGATGATATGATGTTATACTTAGAAAATCCTAGAGAATCGACTAAAAAAATGACTTGAAATTATTAACAACTTCAGCAAGTTGCAGGATACAAAATAAATCCACATAAATCATCAGCATTTCTGTAGATTACCAACAAAGTCCAGCAGCAAGAAATAGAGAAATTCCATTTAAAATAAATGTAGATGATATAAAATACTTGAGAGTCTACCTGCCAAGACAAACTCAGGAACTACATAAATACAACTGTAAAACACTTTTCACACAAATGAAGCCAGATCTAAACAATGGGGAAAATATTAATTGATCATGGGTAGACTAAGCCAATATAATAAAAATTACAATTCTACCTGTTATTTATAAGAGCTCTTTTTGTGGTGGCCAAGAATTGGAAATGAAAGGGATGCCCATGAATTGAGGAACGCCTAAATGAGCCATGGTACATCATTATAATAGAATATTATTGATATAATAATAATGTATTTGATTATAATTATATCATTTGATTATAATATATATTTATATAATTTTATTATAATTATAATAAATAATTGATAATGTAATAGAATATTATTGTGAAATGACAAACAAGATGATTTCAGAAAAACCTGGAAAGATTTACATGAACTGATGCATAGTGAAGTGAACAGAACCAGGAGAATTGTACATAGTAACAGCAGTATTATTTGATGAAGAACTGTGAATAACTTACCTATTCTCAGCAATACAATGATAATAAGACAATCCCAAAGGACAAATGATGAAGCATAGTATCCACCTCCAGAGAAAGAACTGATATTGATTGAATACAGACTGAAGCATACTATTTTTCACTTTCTTTCTTTCATTTTTTTCTTTTATTTGAGTTTTCTTGCACAAAATGACTAATATGGAAATGTTTTACATGATTGCGCATGTATAGCCTGTATCTGATTGCTTACCATCTCAGGGAGGGAGGGAAGACAGGATGAAATTTTGAACTCAACACTTTAAATTAAAATGTTAAAAAAAAAAACTGGGAGAAAAAAGTCAATTTAGCAGTACTTAAGTTGAAGTATGCCATACAAGTGGTGTTTGGATTGGCTGACAGTCATCACACCATGTGGGTCTTGTATAAAGCCACCAAGCTAGTTTGGAATTAAGGAGGAGTTCCTTGGAGGGGTTGGGGAGGAGAAGAGGTCTTATCTGAGGTCTTGGCCTAGATTTCTTTCCCACCTTTGGTCAGAGAAGGACCTTGTGAACTTCAAAAGATCTGGAGGACTTTGACTTTAATCTCATTAATATCTTAGTTCTAGGAGCCTGTCCAGAACAGCTGGCACATTATCTGCATCTTGAGCAGAGAATTAACTAGATAAGATGAAGAAAGGCTGATTCAAGACCCTACCAGGAGCCCAGCAGAAAAGCTGTATCATACCTAGGGGAACATCTAATCAAAAAGGTCTCATCATCTTTGAGGAGATGTAACTTATTCCTCTGCTGCAAATGCTAAATTTAAATCCGCTTTTCCCTGGACTCCATGTACTTGTGTGAGAGTCTGCTTTACCCCCTTTTTTTGGAGGAGTGTTTTGCATCAACTCTACTCCCATAATAAATGCACATTTCTAAAAGCTAATTACATTAGTTCTCTCTCTTTCTCTCTCTCTGTCTCTGTCTCTGTCTGTCTCTGTCTCTCTCCCTCCCTCCTTTCCTGCTACCTGCAATCATGCCCATATTTTCTCACTTCATTTGATTCTATGGATCCTTGAAGCCATTATCCTGTATTTCTTTCCTCTTTCACTTCTAAGCTAGATTTATCTGCTTTCACTGTCTGCATAGCTTTGCCATTCATTCTTCAACCTCTTACTGAAATGTCTCCTCTTGGCTTCTTAAAAATCTCTTAATTGCTAAATCTAATGATGTTTTTCTAGTCTCCATCATCCATGACCACTCCGTAACTTTTCACACTGTTGATCACCCCTTTCAGATCCGAAGTCTGAGTGGTTCCTGAGATCATGGAATAATAATAATAATAATAGTTAACATTTAAATGACACTTACTATATGCCAGGCACCATCCTAAGCACTTTACAATTATTATCTCTTTTGAACAATCCTGAGAGGCAGGCACTATTATTCTCTCCATTTTGCTGGTAAGGAAACAATTTGAATTATACTTTAAAAGCTATTAAACTGTGCATATTCTTTGACCCAGTGATACAGCAGGAAAACTTTATTGCATTGGTTGAACCTAGACTTTTATGGCTGAGAGACCAGACCTGTTGCTTAAAGACCAGATTTGTTTAATGCTTAACTCAGGACTCCAGGTTATGTTGACCAGAAACCTTCCAGAGGATCTGAAGATTGAATCCTATATGATGTATGACTTACCTAGACTCGGGAGGGAGGGGCCCTTTTTAGGCTTCCGCCTCTGCCAGATGACATAATGAAGTTTTTTCCAAATTATTTCATTTCTGAGTTTTGTTCTCAGCCAATAATTTATGGTATCAGAAGTGGGATCTCTGATGGTGACATGAAGAGCAGGACCAAGCTAGATAAGATCATTCTGCACAATGACAACCAGGTGAGTAACCTGAGGGCTTCAGGTAGAGCATAATCCTCGTCCTTTTGTTTGAACTCTACATGTTGTAGGCAAATATATGATGCCTTAACCCAGGTAATTACTCAAGGTAGGGTTAGAACTAGCCTAGCCACTCTTGCTGGCAAATGAATAGTCCTCTTGGATTAGTCAGCCAAGAGTTCTGGGAACAGAACTGCCATCTGTTAAATCTGATCAGTAGTCCTCTAGCATATTTCTTGTCTCTGTTTTTGTCTCTGTCTCTTTCCCCCCCTCTTCTGCATTTTCCTCAATCCCCTGTGACCATAAAAAATAAACCAAAGATTGCTGTCTGTGATTATATATTGGTGGTAGCTGCTGTGCTACCTTGATGAGTATGGCATTGTGATCCAAAACTCAAAGGCAAGGGCCACCATTTGATTCACATGACCTGCCAGGAGGGAATCCTTTATCATATATTTGTGTTGTGTCTTGTCTTGCCCTTATCTGTCTAGTTAATTGAGCAACCCTGATGAACCAGTTAGCTAATATCAGTCCTACCTACCTCCATTTACTTAGGACAACTCTGAATGAATGTGTGTTAAGTCAAAAGTTGTTCAGGGCTAGGCATACTGAACACTCATAATCCAACAGTAGGGAATCCCCCTTTCTCCCTCTGTACCCTTCCTATGAGGTTCTTAGGAAAACCTTTGACCTGTGTCATGTCTAGTACTTTTTTAGATTCTGTTGCCTTGGAAGATTTCTAAGGAGAAAATGCATCCAGCTATAAAGACTGCTATAAAAAAAAATTACAGCCAAGGAGTTTAGAATGGTGGGGAAGATTAGTGAAGTTTTATACTTGAAGCA